TTATGTCATTGTTATTTCAAAATATACATCTATATTTGCTTTCTCTATTAACATCACATTCCTAAAATTAAATCACTCAAGGTTGGTGAAATTACCCAGGACTCATAAATTCTCATATCTAAATAATTCTTTTTTCTTTAAACAATTTCATTTGTTGAGAATCTTGGCATTTAATTTTTGCTACTTCAAAAGTTGGCATCTTCCTCTGAATGAAAATACTTTCCATAAATCCTTTATCTCCATATTATATATATTATGTACAAACTTCATAAATGAATAAAATATTTGCTTACAAAGTCCTCCAAATGAAATAACCCTTTTAACTCTACTAATGTTGGATGAGAAATCAATATTTACTGTTGGAGGAAAAAATTCTTGCCTTACTAAGATGAACTTGAATTTTGACTAAATTTGGTATAAGAAGGTTGTCAGATGATTTGACATCAGTGATTTTTACTTATATGTGACAAATCTATTTTACTACTGTTAAACTGTGGGCTAGAGAGTCTTAAATAACTGCCTAAGGAGATGCAATGAGCTAATGTTTGACCTGGGATTGTTACATGGGTTTGGTAAATCTCAACGCCACCTAAATATTCTGTCTTAACCTTCTGATGGCTTCAAGACACTTTAAACCATCCATGGTCTAAGTCCTAGTTCTAATTATATAATACCTAACTATCACACACAGCACCATGCTTAAAAAGAAATAAATCGAGTGGAAAGCATGTTTATGGAGAAAAGCAGGGTAGACTACCCCAAAAAAATATATTCATGGATTATTTGATAAAGTCAGGCCAGAAGAGCAAAGGATGGTAAAAATAAACGTCATGCTCTAAAACTGAATTTTGCAGATACTTTTCAGCATGATTTTTCTATGTTTCACTTTTCACCGTCAGCTGTGAGCTGTTTCCAAGTGTGAAATCGCCTAACAGAGGAAGCAAAGCTGTCATTTGACATCTGGGAGCGTGGAGATTGGGCTGCAGTGAAAAGCACTTTGGACTTCTTCAATTTACACACATATTCACCTATAAATTCTTGAATCTGAAAAGTATTCAAAGAGAAATATCAATGTAAATTTCCAGCATTTAAAATTAAAGGCTCCTAATGGGGTGGAAAATAAAAGTGAAGGGCATGCTGACAGAATATCACATCAACATGTTTAAGACTAGAATGGGAAACTTGAATGGCTATGTTAGCATAATAACTAATGTATAAGTAATCTTATTCACTTGAGTTAGACTGCATATTAAACTTTCAAATAGTCTTTTGTATCTTATACAGTTAATAGCATAAGTTCTATTTTCCAGCTGCTTATTTATGATGAGAGTCAAAACTGTTAAGAAAAAATACTGGTAGGAAAAGAAAAATTCACACTCTTGACATCTTATTTTTCATTTATACTTAAAATGCTATAACAAAAATTTATTCTACATTATCAAGTGATAAAACATATAAAATTCTTTGTCTAAAACTGTATGTTTTATGTACAAATAGAAGTAAAAACAGAGTAACTAAAAGGAAGCCCTTTGGAGAAGAATAACCAGTCTACCCCCATTTTTGTTCTATAATCTCTCTCAGTGAAAAGCAGAACCTATCTAAAAGTCTCTTCATAAGGTATCTTTATGGAAACTAGACAGTGTTATATTTATATTGTCATGCCAAACAATCTATTCCTACTTTGTGGACCATTTCTTTTGCTTTTTTCTTTCTGAACTCCATTCTGTGTGTCTGTGGTATAAAAAGAGCCCATTTACCTTGAATGATGTTTATTTAAAATAAAACCTTGCTAGAGAATCACCCTGGATAATCTAAGGATACAAAGTGAACCTAAAAGGAATGGTTTCTACTTTGAAAACAGGGCTGGGTTTGATCAGTGCATTCGTATTCTCAAGACCCTCGTGATGGGTCTGCAGCTGCAGCCATTTATGTGCTGGCTTTTTCACAGATGTAGACAAGAGAAAGCGCCATGGTTTTTGTCTTTTTGTTGCTGGATTTGTTTTCTTTAATATTAAAAAAAAGGGCAACTTAAAAAAAAGTTCTTAGGTTGTAGAAACATATGAATATTGAACTTCCTTGGAAGTATGCATTGTTAAAATGACTAGGACTTTTAAAAATCTAAGATCATAAAGTTGGCAGAAACTATTCTTAAATAACAGAAGGTGATCATTTGCATTTCAAAATTTATCTATCTTGCCTTCCCCCTCAATTAGACCAAAACATGTTGATTCACAGGTTTCTGTGTGTGTTTTTTCTGTTTTAAACTTATTTATAGAGCAGAATAATGGCCCCCCTGCTAGTTTGGCATTTGCTCAAGTTTCTGTCCATGTAAATCGAATCTGTTACTGGAAATTTTTCTCAAAATATAGAAGCACATCATCCACAAGATAAAAAAGACACACTGCTGATATTATAAAGTACAGGGCAGGTGGGTGATGTTTTTAGGACAAAAATATGATAAGGATTTCCAGGGGGGAAGAATGGTAAGGGCCCCATGCTGTTCAAACAAAGGTGAATCGTCCTCATCAGAATCTTGTGACAACTTCACTTTCAAACCAAACATGAGTGCTTAGCAGGCTTTAGAGTTACTTGCATAAAAACACCAAGGTTCGAGCTGGGGTAGGGAAAAGGGATATGGGAGGGAACCATTTCAACCCTGGTGTTTGTAAGGGTAGATCAAGAAGTCTAATAACTACTTACTGATTAGTGAGTTTTAAACACTGATGCACTAACATACTATCATTGTTTCCACCACCCTTTGAGAACAAGGAGGAATAACTACTTGTAGTTTTTATTAGTAGCTCTGCTATTCAGTTTCAAGAAAAACAGTAATTTATAAATTTTTGCTTCAATTCCCCCAGTACTGTAAGCAAATGGTTAGTAACATGTAGACTTAACTGAGTTCTTTAACTAAGTTTGAGATCTTCTAAATTAGAACATTAACATGACCTTTCTATTAAGACTATGACTGGTTTTGTTTCACCTTGCTGCTTTAGGTTAATAGGCCCAAGGACTGGAGAAACTTTCCATACTATTCATGCACACAGTAATACTAGAACACTTCTAGCACAACTAACAAAGCTTGAAGGCAAATCCCTTTATGTAAATAATTACAACAAAGCCTCTTTTTATACTAAAGGTTTGTTGTTGTTTTTCCCCAAATGCTAGTGAAGGACAACCTGAAAAAGGACAGCGAAGGGAAAAAAGAAAAAAAAAAAAAAAATCCATTAATGGTACACTGCCACCTGCTGGTGAACTATGAGAATGGTGATTTCTGAAAAAAGGCTTAAAAATTAGAATTCAGAAACTGATCTGTATTAAACAGAACACAAAATTGAAAGTATGTATCTGTTGATGAATGTATTATGGTTTTGTCCCACATATATTAATGCTCTCAGGATCCCAAGAAGTTATGGACATTAAAAAAACAGACTGTGCTTGAGACTAAAGAAAAATAATTTGCTTGAATGCTAAAATACCACCTTAAGGAGCCAGATATAAATATTATAATTATTAACAAATATACTTATGTATACTGAAACCTAAAATGTAATTTCTTATCAAATTAGAAAGTTGGGTGGTGTCTATAAAACTAACAATCAAGACAAACAACTGGTTTTTTGCCCTATTTTGTATTTTATCTAGACACAAGGTCTCACTGAATTGCTTAGCGCCTCACTTTTGCTGAGGCTGGCTTTGAACTTGAAATCCTAGGGTCTCAGTCTTCTGAGACCTGTGCCACCCCACCCAACCAGACAGGTAATTGTAATGAAGCGATTTCCTACTATGAAATTTTTGTTATTCCTTTTACTATATCACACCAATATGTTTTCAAAAATCAGAATCATGTTATCTATTTGAGGGAGAAAAAATTATAGTTTTGTTCTATTGTCTAGGAAAAAATAAAATCAGTCCTAATTTGGAAAAGAATGTGACAGTATTAGTTCCCAATAGTTATTTAAGGAAAGTTTAAGCATATATTCCTTATAGAATTAAAAACTTTGCTCTTCCTCTTCACTGTAATTCTTAACAATGAAGGTTGTAACTAAAAAATAGTAAATCTCTTTCAATTCAAATTATAATGATTTCCTGTGCAGCAGAGTTAAACAAGATAAGCATCAATACACTGGTAGGCTAGTAAGCATTAAATACTGTAATGACCAACAATCAAATAGATGATGTCAGCATAATCAGTTGAAACTCCTTTGGAAGTAGATGGAGGCTTCTTGGGGGCAGCGGAGGTTGGGGGGTAGGGGCACCAGGAGTGAAGAAACTGCAGTCATCCAAAGATAGTAAGTGCTAGGCAAAGCAAACAAACTCTGAATTCAAATATAGCCCATCCGCAATGATGAGAGAGGAAAAAGTAACTCAAACATAATTCATATGCATAACTTACCTAAAATTATCAATCAAGGACTTCAAACCCACAGAAATAAATCTCTTATTTTTAAAAATAAAGACAATACAATAAGGGCAGGAGAAACCTGTTGTGTCAACTGTTTGGCTAAATGGGCTATTTTAAATTTTGTTAAATATAGAAAGAATCTTAAAACTGCATTCTAAAATGCCAGGTCTACTCATCACTGAAATCACAATGCATTTTTTTAATCTTTATCTATTTATAGCCTTAGGAATTTGATCCTTTAGTCAGCTACCTCTAACATCTTAATAAAAATCATCCATGTAAAGAGGGTCAAGATATCTAAAGTTCCTTCTAAGCACTAGTTAAGTCATTTTAAGGAATTTATTTCAAGTTCTAAGGGATGTATAACCACTTTTTACAAGAAACACACACACACAAACACACACACACACACACACAAAACATACACCTATGGATTATACAATGGTTTTATTCCCCAAATTTTCCGTTTTAGAGGGTTAAAGAGATAACCAACCAATACGTATGTGAACTGCTAGTGAAAAATACAACTTTTACAAAGAAAGGAGAGCTGCCGGACCACTTTTTCAAGTGAGACATTTTAGGAGATGGCTCTAACCTGGGGCACAGTACATTCTCTCTATGGCATCGCTGTCACAGGAATCTTCAACCTCACTCCACCTGCTAAAATACGTTAGCTGAATGTGTCCTAAAAACAAAACGACAGGAGAAATCAAAACATTTTTCTCTTCCATTTTCTGCAGAAGTGAACTGTAATTACTCCTTTTGTAGCTAAAAACAGTATCATTAAGAATAATGGCATCATTAAGTACTAGAAGCTATTACTGGGGGTGAATTTGCTGCACTGATAATGAAGCTCTAGACAGGAAATGAAGATACTAATTACAAGATAAAACGCCTACTCAGTTAATTGGAAGCAACAGCGAATAAAAAGAAATGCATTTGCAAAAGTTCCTGACCTCTATCATTCAATAAGATGTTGTTTGGGTTCAAATCGCGGCACACAATTCCCTCTCTATGTAAAGCATCAAGGGCTACCACCATTTCAGCTGCCCATCTTTGAATGCAGCCCTCTGGGATGTAAAACCTGGAGTTCAGTGCTAATTTTTTATCAAGGTCCTCAAAAATCTGATGGATTTCCTTGTCTCCTTCTAGTGCTAACATACTTTCTCCCTTCCTCTCAGAGTCTCTCTGGAATAAACAAGTAGATTCCTCTTTAGCCAAATCATCAGCTTGATCTGTAAACAGCAATACTTCCTCTGTTTTTAAAGTGTCTGTGTTTGCATTGTATTCATTAGCACCTGAGAGGGGATTAGAGATACAGAATAAGCTTTCTTCTGTGGTGTTTGCAGTTAATGCCAACTCCGCCACTCGAAGTCCTTGCAACTCAGCATCTGAGCTGGGTAACAAAGGCAGGTCCCCTGAACTACTACGATCAACAGCTGCTACAAATAACACCCCAAGATCCTCCTGCGCATAGTGTGTCTCGGTTATACTACAGGGCTTGGGCCTAGAGTGATCACTCAGTCCCTCTGTGCCTTTTTCTTCAGGGGCCTGGCACTGTTCAGTACTAAGCCTGAGGCACAACACATCCGGGGCTTCCAACAGTTTGCTTTCTACCATGCCCACATTAGTCTGTGTAAACTTAGTAGGTCCCGTTCCAGCAGCTTCTTTTGTTGGCTCCAGTTCACCAGGGAGATTTACAAGAAGATCGGGTCTTCCTTCATCAGTACCACTGACATCATCAAAAGCAGCATCCTTAAAGGAAATAACTGGGACTGAGTCATCTGAGCCCCTGCTAATGGTGTCCTGAGCTTTGAACTCTACCTTGTTCTCAATGGAATTAAAACTCTTAGAAGTGCTGTCCCCATCTGGAAGAGTAAAGAATGGTTTCAAAGGTTCTGATTTTAGACTACACAGTTTTTCTCCAAAATCAAGTCCCAGGAGTTCACTTGTGCTATCCTTACTGTCTATCCTAAAGAACTCCATGGGGCTATTTTTTGATCTACTGAGGGAATCAGAGGTTCTTGGAGAACAAACTGCTTCTGGGTCCTCATCTCCAGGGAAGAACTTCAGGTCGTGGGCTCTCAGCTGAGTGCTAGGGCTGTCACTCTCAGCAGCAAGATGTGCTGGAAAGCTCCTACTGGCTTTGGTATCAATGTCATTCCCTTCAGTCTTCATGAGAGGCTCCTCGTTCAAAGACCCTGGTTCAATCTTTTCTTGCCCATATTCATTGCATAATGTTAAATAACTAGTAGTGCATTCTTCTTCTGAACTTGAGCCGGAATCTGACCATTTTGGAGAGCTGTCTTGGCCTTCATCTTCCTGGTTGCTATCATCTTGAGAACTTGGAGTAAGACTAGTCTTCAGAGGCAGAACTTTAAGTGTGCTTCCCCCATCACTTCCTCTGGATTCAAAGCTGCCACTGTCCTGAGGACTACAAGTTGGCTGCTGCCGGTGAACTTCAGTAAGTGTGGACTTTTTCACTTCCTTAATGTCAAAGCTTTCTTCAGGACTTCTGTTTAGAAATTTACTGATATATGACCAGAGTTTGCCACCTGTGAATAAGTACAACCAAAAAAACAATAAGATCCTTAAACTAATATTTAAGCAACTTGAAAAAAAATATTCTAATAATCATCAAAACCAAGTCAACAATACTCATTAATGTCAAATGTGTTATAAAACAGGCATATTTAATAAAATTTGAGGATACATTTCAATTTTATTATTGCTAACTGATGAATATGGTTTCAAGTATTTCTCCCGATATCAATTACTTTCAAAAATGACAACCTATTTCTTTCTTTTGAAGGGAAATTAGTTATAGCAAAGACTAATATGAAATCTCACAGCTAAAATCTTGCTTTAAGTTAACTCTTATTTAGTCTGGTCTGGTTATGTAATAAGTAAGTGGTCAAGAAATACATAAGTACTATATGAACTTGTATACCACAATGAGGGAAAAATAATCAACAATATTGTTCCATTCTGAAAATGCCCAGTCCAAGTCAGGCACAGTGGCGCACACCAGTAATCCCGGCAGCTTGGGAGACTGAAGCAGGAAGATTGTGGGTTCAAAGCCAGCCTCAGCAACTTAATGAGACCTAAGCAACTTAGAGAGACTGTCTCTAAATAAAATATTTTTTTTAAAAGCTTGGGGATGTGGCTCAGTGGTTAAGCACCCTTAGGTTAAAACCCTTGTACCAAAAAAAAAAAAAAAAAAGCCAAAAATTGAAGGAGAAATTTGTCAGCTGTTAATGTAATTTGTTTTTAAATGACATTATTTTTTCCCATCTTATGCTCCCTGATACATGTTCATATGTTGTATAAGCTCAAGTAAAGCCATTGAGAAAGATTAATTGAGCAGCAATTAATGAGGTAAGTTATTATAATTATGATTCTATATTCTGATTTATATCTATAAAACTAAACTCACTTAAAACACTTTTGCAGAAATCAAATAAACATAAAATAATCCAGCTTTTTACCAATAATATTTGTTATGTAGTTACTTTACCATTTTTTTGTTTTATTTTAACCATTAAAAATTCAAAATCAGAGATTTTCTGCTAATTAGAATCTTTATATAAAAACTATAGTATCAAAACCCCACAAATGCACTGATTAAAAATAATAGTAAAAGAAAGAATGATATTAAATTTGATCCAGAAATCTCAAAAGCAGTACATAGGGAGGCATACTTTGGAAAGATAGATATAACTGGCTCAGAACATTTTTAATGTCACTATTAAGCAACATATATCAAATGTAGCTAAATCTTAAAGAAAAGTAACCATTGACAATAAATGGCATGAATATATCAGCAGTTGCATCCAAAAATTTTGCATTTTACATTTCATTTCTAGAAATTCCATAAATACCCAAAGTACTGTGCCTACCACAGAATAAATGATCAGTAAAGGGTAAGTGTCATAATATCAATCCTAGGATCATCATGCATCTCTTTCTACCAATGATCCAGTTAACAGTCTTCCTTATTTTAATAACAGTGATGTAACTTTTCTGTCTCATTTTTTCTTAGCTGAAGCTTTCTGTCCTTTTTGGAGTGTATTCAATGTTTCCATATGGTTTTCAAACTCACACTCACAAAGGAGCTATGCATCAATTCCAGTCTGAAGTCTTTTGACAACAATAACCACATTCTTTTGAGCACACTTACCTATACTGTGGCACCCAAACAATAATGCCTACCCCTGAAGCTGAGATCCTTATGCAATCCAAATAAAATGACACTGTGATTTTTGATTCTCCAAGATGATGATTCCTTTGAGGGAAAGATCAAGTCTTTTTCACCTTTCTATGCCTACTGTCTATACAGTATGCAGGACATGGAGGGCACTCAGCCAATACTTGTTCAGTCAGTCAATAACACAGCATGAGATGTGCCATCACCACGTACAAGTTTCGGTATCAGCAAGAAACACAACCTGAAAAAGTTCTAGGAAGTTTCCTTCACTCTTAGGCCAATGAATCTAAAATTCAATGTACTTAAATTCTTTATTTTTGTCCCCCAAATCACATCTTTCTGTCTTCCGAATCATTATAGCACAAAAGTTTCAGACCAAACTTGAATTATTTTCTTTTCTTTGCTCCTCCTACATTTGACACGTCTCCAGGTCCTATGAGTTCTACGTACTGTGTTTCTCCCAGGCATCTCCTTCTTTTCATTCCTTTGGTTATTCTGTGCTTCTGGGTATAATGCTATAGGCACAACTAGACTATAAAATCCCTACTATATCACTCTATCATACTAATTGTTGTCTAGTTAAACTTCCATTTTAGCCCAGATCTTATCATGCCATTTCTCCATTTAAGAACTCAAATCCCTCTACATATTGAACCATATCCAGGCATTTGAACCCCTGGGTAATACAATACCAATTCATAATTGGGTCCTCTTCCCCTATTCATTACAGAATTCACTTGAATTGGACATCCCCACATAAACCCAGGCTGGGCTTTTTCCTCATTCTATACTTACCACTTAAAATTTTTTCCTACTAGTTTCCTTGTAATATCTGCTTGTCAAAATCCTACCCATTCTTGAAAGTGCTTCAGAATCTGTTCTTTTTACCAATTTCTTTGTATCCCTTTACCGGAAATAATTCATATCTTCTCTGAATCCTCTACATCATCTGGTCCCTCATATGACATTTACAACATTGTACTTCAAATTAATGTTACCTTTATGCTTTTATTATTTCCTTTACCAGATTGCAAGATCTTAATAAATGCAGAGGAGTCTACCTAGCACTAGTGAGTTAATAAATAAATATTTATTAAACTGAGTAATAACAAGTGGTATCTTCACAATTTTTAAAAATCCTTTCAAAGAAAAAGGTGTACAAGTACTAATAATGTCATTTTAGAAGACACCACATTTTCTTCCTAGTTTAAAACTAATAGAGAGCTTTACTACAAAACTTCTCAAAAAATACAGAAAAGAATAGGAAAATAGAAAAGACAAAAATTTAAATTATCTGTAATCCCACCACCTAATGATAAACACTATTAAGTCATCACTATACTTACTTTCACATTTTTTAGTCATAAATAACATCATAAACATTTCCTAATTTTCATGAGAAAATGAGCTTGAATGGCTATATAGCATATCCATGCAACAGATGTTGTGATATAGTTAAATGTTCTTCTGTTGTACATTTAAGTTGTTTTCAGTTTTTTTTTACTATAAGAATTACAATAATAAATATTATTACATACAAATACTTGCATTCTTTGATTATTTCATCAGGACAGAATCCCAGAAATGAAAATACTGAATCAAGAAGCATGTTAATGTTTTTGGTACGTGTTGCTAAATCGCTCTACCTTCTGGTAAGTAATGTGCACAGCGCCATCCTGATGGCCAAACTTGCCCATATCAGATAGTACCAAGTTTGGGTTGAGAATTTGGCTCACTGGTAGAGCACCTGCCTGGTATGCATGAGGCTCTGGGTTTGATCCACAGATTTAAAAAAAAAAAAATTTAGAAAGTTTATCCATTTGATAAATCAAGTATGGTATCCTATTTAATTTCCATTGTTCTTATTATTAGATAAAATTTTAAATATGATTGTCAGTGTTTTCTTTATGGAATCTGTTTCCAGACTAAACAAGCACTTTAACAACAATTATAAAAACTGTTATTTTTAAAGGGACAAAACTGTTTTAGTTCTTTCCCACTCTCTGATGGGTGCTCACTTAAATTTATTGTTCCTAATGCTTAATATTGAGCTACAGAAACAACATTTGATCAAATCACATCCTTTTTTCAATTATGAAAAATATAAAATCACATCACCTACAAGAAAACATGATTCTAACTAAAGTTTCTCACCCACAAAATCTGCTTGGGTTTTCACTTTCTGCAGAGTTGAGATCAGGCCCAATATAAAAACTTGTACAAATATCACTATTAATATTATTATTATTATTATTATTATTACATTAAACAACTTTTAAAAACCATGTTATTGCTAAATCACAAAATATAAATAGAAAACAGTTAAAATATTAATAATTTTAACACTTTAAGAATATGTAAATGATATTTTTCTTTTTTTTTAAAAAAAGAGCACAAATTCATCTTATTTATTTTCCATTAGTTTAAATCTTTGGGGGATACAGTATCAGACGGATTCTGTATCCAATGGCCTTAGCAGGAAGGTTGCTTCAGAATGTGATCTGAACCATGCCACTATTTCTGTGGCACAAGTTACCTTTCCCCAGATTACTCCTATTTTGTTTGGTCTGCCACCAGGAGCCACTGTGTTGTTTTTTGCTTTGTACACATAAGCACATCTTTTGCCCAAGTAGAACTTGGTTTCATCTCTGGCATAAACACCTTAAATTTTTAGAAGAGCTGTGTGCTCCCTTTGGTTCCGAAGACCCTGCTTATAGCCAGCAAAAATGGCTTTGCACCACAGCCTTCCAGACATATATGCCTTTTAAAGTCCTGTTGCCAGCAGGCCTCCAAAGGCATTTTTCTAGGCCCTTTTGAAACAAAGTTGCAATTACTGAAGCATCTTAAGCTATAAAGGTAGTAATTCATAAGGTTTAACTAAAATTATTTCCTTGCCTCTCATCACATTTTAATTTATTATCTTTCTACAAGATTGCGCAATAAATGTATTAATCTGCTTGACCAGAATTAGAACTTAAAGTTAATATGGATGATCAAATATTGTTATAGCAATGATAAAAATCATCTTTTGACTCAGAAATTCCATTTCAGAACATCTGTTCTACAAATAATTTTTAAGAACAGACAAAATAAGACTGCACAAAGATATACATGTACAAGTACTGGGAACAGTTTTTAAAAAACAATTAAGAAGGACATAGATAAATTATGGTAAATCTGCACAATCATTTTATATCTACTCAAAAATATCACAGCAATATTTGCAAATACAAGATGTTTACCAAGTACTGAGTACAAGTCTACGTATTTTGCGTTTATCAACCATTTAACTTTCACATCAACCCTATAAAATGGTAGCCAACTATTATTGTTCCTGTTTTGCGGATGAAGAAATTGAGACACAGAAAAGTTAGGGCCCAAGGTTGCACAACTAGTAATAACAAATCAACATTTGTGTTCATATAGCCTGGTGCTGAAATCCTTTTTAAACACTACACAACCCTGGCTTTCTTAATATAAACCTACTTGAACTCACAGGGAAAGGGTCCAAGGTACATTGCAAAGATGGGGTTGGGGAAAAGCAAGATAAAGACACAATATAATCATCTGTATTTTTAAAAATCAGATAAGTGAGGAGTATATGTTTATACATAGAAAATTTTTGGAAGCTGCATAATAAACTGTCAATAGTGTCTATTTCTGGGGAATAGGTAATTTTTACTTTTATATGCTTCTATATAGTTTTAATTTATTTGCTTATAGATTAGTTTTATACATTTTTTTAAAAACCTAGCTAAAAAAGGAGAATCATCTTACCACTTTGGTCCCTTGCGGAGAAATTCTTTCCCACTACTATTTGGTATGTCAACACTCCAGGGCTTTTACAATCTTTGTTTTTCAGCCTGGCCTTTCATCTTTTTTCCAACAGGTTCAACACTCTATGGTTACACAGAGCATCACCTACACACCAAGCATTCTGCTGTAAGGATATGTGAGGAATATTATATAATCCTGATTTTAGGAACTTACATACCTTTCTTCTTCAAGTAGAGTTAAGAGGTTAATTTGAAAGAATAAACATTTTAAACCTTTCCCCCAAAATCTTGTCTGTTATATCCCACTTCCTTCTCAATACCACCTGAATAATAATAATCTACAGAACTGAATCTTGCATTTTTTCCTTCTAAATCTATTCTTTCCATAGCTTAGTAAATGGAAAGTCCAATCTTTCAATTACTTGAGCAAAAAACCTTAAGAGTTATGTAAGGCAGAATCACACCAGTTCTACCTTCAAATATAGTCAGACTCCAGTAACAATCCCACCATCACCATTACTAACTATGAATATGGTTATAAGTATGCCTCCCAAAGGTTCAGGTGTTGGAAGTGTGGTCCCCAGTGTGGCAATGTTAATAAGTAGTAAGACCTTGAAGAGTAGAACCTAGTGGGAGGTCCTGAAGTCACTAAAACCAAAGTCCCTCTCTGGATTCCTGTCTCACCACATTATCTCTTGTTTTCATACACACTCCTACTACTGTAATACCATGCACCATGAGGACCTTACCAGAACCAAACAGATTCTCACACCATGGCCTTGAACCTCCAGAACTACAAGGTAAATAAACCTCACTTATTTATATAATACTCAGCCCAGGATATTTTGTTATAATAACAGAAAATGAACTAATACAAAAACCTGTCAAATCTGCCATGATTTTCATTTGAATTGCTGTAACAACCTCCAAGTTGTTCTCTCTGATTTTGCCTTTGCCCTCCTATCTTCTGTTTTCCACAAAACAGTCAGAATGATTTCTACATTGTCACTCCTCTTTGCTCAGTATCCCCCAATGACTTCCTAACTCATTCAGAGTAACAGTCAAGTTCTTAAAGTGGCCTATGAGACCATACAGAATCTGCCTGTCCTATTACTCGCTCCTCTAAACTCAGTCCCATCTCTTCCCATTCTCTCTAGCCACACTCGTCCTGCTACTTCTTACACACCAAGCACACTCTTCTGAGCTTATGCACTCTTTTCTCTCTTGCCAAGACATTTTCCCTCACATATTCACATTGCTCCTCCTCACTTCCTTCAGGTCTCAGGTCAAATGTGCCTTTCTCAATCAAGTGACCACCCTATATAAAACAGCACTGCTCTGACAAGTCCCTTCCCTCCTTTTCTTGATTTTCTCCTTAGTATTTATCTCCAGCTGACACACATTCATTTACATACTTGTTGTCTGTCTGTTCCACCTCTACACAATGGAAGCTCCATACAGGCAGAGTCTTTGTTTTAGTCATTGTCGCACTAGAACTTCACCTGGGCTCCAGTAAGCACTCAATACATTTCCAACTGAATGAATTAAAAACAGAAAAGAAAATGAATCCAAGAGACTCAAATAAATTATAGACAGTTCTGTAAGTAGTAGGAGGTTAAAGCTACAAATCATAAATATTCAAGCATTGGTAACATGGAGAAAACTGTTCAAGATTAACTTTTTCAGTAATAACTATTTATACATATGAGAGTGACTTTTTTTATAATCTTCACACAAAATACCTCAGAAAATAACCACTGAGACATCATCCAGTTTACTCCCTTGCTCAAGCCAAATCTGAGAAATTACTATAGACTCTTCTCTCCCTACTCCCAAATCCATAACAGCTCCCTCTGACGCTACCCTTAGGACATCACCACTGGCAAGCCGGCAGGCCATGCCCTCAGCCTCTTTCACCCAGACTCCTACATTAACCTTTTCACATCTCAATTCTTGGCTTTCTAAGACTCTTTCCCCAAACAACAACCAGAGTGGCCTTTTTAAAATGCAAACCAGATCTTACCACTGCTCAACATGTCTAGTGGTTCCCAATGCACTTGAAGAAAAAACGAAGTCCTTACCCTGCCCCACAAGCTCCTGCCGCCTTCTCCAGTGCCCTCCTGTACCAGTGCTGTGCTCACTTACTGATTCGAATCAAATGGCCTCCTTTCTTGGTTATCAAACATCCTGAGTTTGCTTTTACACTGGTCCCTGTACCTAGACCTAATGTTCAAAGGATGGTTTCTCTTGCCATTCAGAACTCCTCTTAAATGTCACCTTCTTAGAGAATCTCCTTGATTACTTAATAGAAAGAAACCTCAGTTGTTCTCGGTTAGATCTCCCTGTGTTAAAGATCAGATTCATGCCATTAATCTACTGCTTTTTGTTTTTCTGCTTGTCCTCCACAACAAGAATTTAAGATTAACAAGGGCAGGTTCTTTTCCTATCTTTTTCACCTAAAAAGAGCCAACTACACAGTACATGCTCAATGAATTGGTTGAGTAGCAAATGAATTGAGAATTCCTAGTTGTACCACAATTTACTATTTTTTGTATTCTAAACCCTTCTTAAACAATAGATACCTAAAAGAAACAATCAAAACATATGCTGCTTCCAAGTTTAAATAATTCAAGCCACATTGTATAATCATATGCCCATCCAAAGTCAGGTATGGTCAACAGTAAGGAGAAAGAGACTTAGTAAAGATTATTTATAACAGCAGAAAACTTGAAGGTCCTATGTCTATGACTTTAAGACATTATAAAATTATAAAGTAAAATCAGTTTTAGCTCTAAGAGGTATAAGGGAAGGTAGAAGATGGCAGAAGAAAAACTAACATATGATTTGGAGAAGGAAGAAGAAGAAGAGGAAGATACAGTTACAAATAACAGAGGTAAGCTAGGATTGAAAATGTACCACAGATAATCTCCAACATGAATAATCCACACTGGGTAATAGAATATTGACTATAATTACATTCATCCTACTGACCTTGTTCTAAATTATTATGGATTATTACTACGCAAGTTATTTTGTTCCACACCAGAGGTGGCTGTATTTCGCTATCAGATGACATGACCTCTAATTCAATAATGTCTGTAATGCACTGGTATCCTCAGATAAAAGCTGTCTATAATGTCTGAACAAAGGTGAATTAGTTATCCAATTCACACACGCAATTAACTCTCTTAATACCTGTGAGACCATGGAGCCCCTTCTGAATTTCCTATTAAATACTGCATATGGAGGTCTTCCCTCCATCTGTAGTTATCTTGTGCTGTACTTCATAATAAACAATATTAATAGTTTATTGCCCCCATCAAAAATCTTGCATCAGTTATCATAAGAGACCTCATTCCAGATGCAATGACTCCTTTTCCTCAGAAAATTATTAAATTTGGATGTTATGCCAATTAGTAAAGCACAATAGTTCTTTATTCTCAGTAATATACAAATAATAATGTCTCTATGAAATATAAAAAATAATTAATTTTTTACTGTTTTTAAAAATATCTCTTAAAAACACCAAAAGATCATTTATATGAAATGCATTTATATTTATATGCTGTATTAAGTCATTCTTAGTAAAAGACTATTTAAATTCAGGTGTTCACAGGCAAAACCAAATCAAAACATAATATTTTTTGCCACCTGTTCCCTCCACTAATAGCTAAAATTTCATAAACAGTTTGAAGGCAGAGCCCCATGCTTCTGCTTTGTATACATATGTGATGCCAATGGCTGTATTCATAAAAACTCAGATCAGAATAACAAGGTAATGTCAAATGTTAAGCAAACACCCTGGCCTTCTATAAAAAGGAGGTAATTAATTAATTCTTCAGGGGATGCTTTTCATTTTAGTCGTCTAACATAAATGTATCTTTTTAGCAGAGAAAAGAGAACCAAATAAAATCCCTAAAATAATGTCTAGCTCTCTTAACGTGCATTCACATTAAAGTTCTAATTATATTAGATAAATTCTATGAGAAACTAGGAAAGAAAGTATGCCTAAGAATGAATGGTACTGTATATAGTTCAAAAGAAATCTGCTGTGCACCCAAGTTTTCATTTTCCTTCCCATCTCTAAGAGGAAAGGCAGAGCAGAGGAATGAGCAAACAGCTTCTTGTATGTGTTTCACTTAAGAAAGATGTTATGGAAACTAGAAAGCTAAACAGGTGATGTTCTTCACTACATAAACAATCTAACTGCAAACCAACCTTCTGCATGCTGCAGCACAAGAAATACGGACTCCTCAGAGATGATGTACTTGTGCAGACACACCATGTTGGGCACACAGCGGGGGATGATGGTCTTTCTGTTCCTGCTGTATTCACTGCTTTTCCTTAGACCCTGACAGAGAACAAAAAGGTCAGTTGTACCCTCAGTTGCCTTTGGAGCCTGCTGTGCTCTGTGTTTATCAACCAAACTAATCTATCCGAGTTACTCCCGGCTTCAGAGAAACCACTCATCTGCTGCTCTATGCCCCTCAGTCCCTGGAGGCTGTGCTGATGGCATCTGGCGTGAATCCAGAGAACGGAAGATGCCACAAAGCTGCCATTAAAATCAATTACGTGGGTCAGTGTTTTTATTAGAGATGCTCTCAAACTAAGTCATCAGGATGACACACAGTTATTTCTCTATGACCTTTTAAGTTTGATTTTACTTATGTACATCTTTAAAACAGGAGACGTTGTGAGATCAATTCAAATTCCTGGGACACAAAAGATATTCCTACTAGATTAAACCAACAACTTGAAAATTCTATTCCAAAATAGTACAAAGATTATTATAATACCTCCAAGAGAACAAGTGTGTGTGTGAGTGTGTGTGTGTGTGTGTGTTCTAGTATCAGACTCTAGTTTCAAAGACTGACAAAATGTCAATGATAAAGTATATTCATAAAAAGCAATGTGTTTCAGTATGTGTCAATGTGACCTACTGCCATGCCTTATCAGCAAAAAAGAAGTATCAGGAAAGGAAATACAAAACTAATCAAAGCACCTTCTGGATGCTATGGAAATGCTTAAATTAAAATAGTTTCAATATATACCATCACAATTAATTCCAAAAACAATTATGAAATTGAGGAATTTTATCATCTTATTCGTTTAGTTATAAATTGAGTTAGATCAAAATGAGAGCCAGGGATGTAGATAACACTTTCCCAAATAACTGGAACAAAATTTCAGTTCTGAAGAAGTCATAATTAAAAATGAGACTGTGTATAATATTCACAAATTACACAAAATTTATTACAGATGTATTTAAACTACACACTACACATTTAAACAACACAAAGATTATTCTTCAATTGATCTAATTTATTTCCTCCCTATTTCAGAACATAAAACTTTTTTTAAATCTATGCTACAGGACATTTATCAACTTGATGAAAGGACAGGAAAATAAATACAGATCAAAAACATTAAGACATCCATACACACAAAAATTAAATCTTGTCTTTCAAAAGCACAATGTGAAAGTAAATTTGAAAATTCAAATTCTACTTACTTTTAAAATGAATGTCTGTTCTGTCCTTGTGTCCATTACAAGTAAAACCTATATAAAAATATGAGTAATAATTTAATCATAACACCATAAAACATTAACTCTACTTCTGGAAACTAAGAATTTATTAATTTCAGAATAGCTTGCTTTTAAATCCCCAAATCACAGGATATAAATAGTCTTATCCAATATAGATGCTATTATGATTTCCTTTCCAAAAATACCATATTTTAGAAACATCTCTATGTGTCCTAAATGTATTTTTTAATGAATTTCTTAAAAGTAAAGGAAATATTTTAGACAAAGAGTTTTTCCTCATGGAACACAAATGGTGAGAAAGAAATAGTTAAAAAAAAAAAAACTTAAAAAGAAAGAAATTGTTCAAATCTCAGCTTTCTTCCCCAAACTTCTCATGCAGCAACTTGGTATAATGGGATCTTGATAACCCGGGCCTGGCCACCACCTCAGGTATCTGTTTGGTACTGCTTCTCTACTCTGGACCCATCCTCAAATCCTTTTTACCATCAGCAAATTCTGTCAGCTCTATCCTTAAAGTAAATCCAGAATTCAAACTCCCCTCACTACGTCTAGCTTTATCTGATCCAAGCAAAGATCAACTCCTTTCTCGCTAGTAACACTGGCCTCCTGCTTCTATCTTTGCTGCCCTGTGATCTATTCTCCAAATGGCAGCAAAGGTTTCCTGTTTAAGACATAACTTAGATCATGCCGCTCCTCTTGTCTTACTGAGAGAAAAAGTCTAACTCCACAAAATGATTTCAAGATCCTTCATGATCTCACACAGTGCCACCTTGAACTGTCACCCACTTCCATCTTGATGACTAGAGGAATGAAGAAAGAAATTATCCCGCCATGTTAATTTTTATTATTATTATTTCTACATACTATGGCAATGGTTGGCAAACTTTTTCTGCAAAGAGCCAGGTATTTTAGGCTTTACAGGCACATGTGGTCTCTGTTGCTGCTTTCCCAATCTGCCACTGTGGCACAAAACAGCCCAATCCTGGAAATGGCCAGGGGAGGAGTATTTACACCACCAAAATCAGCAAATGCTGTAAATGGGGTCTTTTTTCCCTTTCAAAAGAGCTGGCTGTCAAACATTTACTAATCCCAACTGAAAGAGGAGGGAGAGAAATCAAAGATGAAAGAAAAAGTTAAGCAGGGGAAAATAAAAGAATGGTGAGAAAAAAGAGGGAAGTTAAGACAGGAAACCAGTTTGAAAAGATGGAAAATCCCATTTCAGACATGATGAACTTGAAGAAAGTGACAACTTCATCTTTGACCTCTCTTATGAGTATCTGACCTATACCATTTCAATTTCCATTTAGTTGCAATAGAATATTAACACAAGTACCTAATGACTATATCCCTTCCTTTTCCCCAAACCCTGCCCTCACCAAAAATAAAACAAAGTTACTGTTCTTCCCCCATAACGGCACCCTCCATGAAAACTCCCAAATCCAAGACTTCTCTAAGTCACTGTGAATTCCCATGTCTCCTACCTTCAGAACCAGTGACCAATTCTACTTCAAAAGTACCACTCATAACTAGCCTCTGTCTCTTTACTTACAATATTTTAATTATTTACTATGTTCTATGTTAATCCTTTCAACAACCCAATGAGATAATTTTACATTCCCATTCTACATACTAAAGACATTATAGCTTCACAGGTAGAGCCTGTGATGGTAGCTAACAATAGTATTTACCATTTATGAGGATTTCAGGGAGATAGTCTTACAAAAGTACAGCCAATGGTTATTATTGCTATCACTATTGTTGCTATTTCTCTGGGAAATGTTCCCACAGCCACTTATCAAACAAGCACTCATCTTTCCATATTCAGCTCAAATATCACTCTCTCTCTCTCAATAACACTGATGACTTTCTTCCTTTGTTCTCCCATTTTATACAGTACTGACTTCTACTACAGCATCCCTAACCCTGCAATTTGGTTTTATTTGTTCACCTGTTTTTCTCCCAACCCAACTTCAAGCTCTTTATGGGATTGTCATAGGCCGAATAATGACCTCTAAGATGTTCATGCCCTAAACTCCAAAATCTGTGAATAGGTTATGTTATGGCAAAAACAATTTTCAAGATGTAATGAAGAGGCAGGCCTTAAAATACAGAGATTGCCCTGGATTATATCTTAGTGGATTTCATCAAATCACTTGAACTTTTAAAAACAGAGAACTGTCTCCTGCCAGAAGAAATGGAAACCACAGAAGTGATGTGGCAGAAGAAACAGAGATCGGAGGCTAAGAGGGAAGTGTGGTTGCTGGCTTTGGAGACCACAGGTCAGAACCAAAGGGAGGAAGCAAGGAGCTTGCAGAGAGCCTGAGAAGGAATCCACAGGCAACTTCTAGGAGCAAAGAGCAGCTATCAGCTGCCAGCCACCAAGGAAACAGAGTTCAGTCCTACAACTGTGAAGAGCAGAATTCAACTAACTTAAATGAGCTTGGAAGCAGATTCTTCTCCAGAGAGTCCAGTAAGAAATACAACACTGTTGGTACCTGTGTCACATCACTGATCTACAGAACCCTGAGATAATAAATTGCATGGCTTTAGGCTGCCAAATTTGTGCTAATAGCAGTAGAGAAGAAACTATTTCTTCTATTACAGAACATACTGTAAATGTTCAATAAACTTATAATTAGTGAATTCTGGTCTAAAAGTATGGAAAACACAAGAAAAAATGGGAGTGGGGTTCAGAAAATAATTAGAAAATAAGTCAGGACTTATATTCTATTATTAATAAGGACTATACATTTATATTTAAGCACTCTCCATAAAGATAAAAGCTAAACACATGAGAATGGACCCTACTAGAATGCCTCCCTTATACTACCAAAGTTCTGGGTTTTAAGAAATTTAACTGCATAACCAAACAGGTTTTTTTTTAATTTGTTGGGGGTGGTGGTGGTACCAAGGATTGAACTCAGGGGCACTCAACCCCTGAGCCACATCCCCACCCGTATTTTATATTTTATTTAGAGACAGGGTCTCACTGAGTTGCTTAATATCTTGCTGTTGTTGAGGCTGGCTTTGAACTTGTGATTCTCCTGCCTCAGCCTCCCAAGCTGCTGGGATTATAGGCATGGGCCACCATGCCCAGCTCCAAACAGGTTTTTATTAATCAATTTTGTGGATGAGGAAACAACGACAAAACTGTTAATCTACCTTGTGCGCAAAGATAAGAAGTCGTAGAGGCAAAATTTAAATCTAGGCAGTTGACTCCAGAGTTCTTCCTCTTTAACTACTAAGTTATAACATATGTAAACAATATATTGTCGTATTTATGTCTGAATTTTGAAAGTTAGACACAGTTGGAATATTGTGGGTAGATAACACAACAACCAAAAGTTTAATGAGAAAAGTACAAAGAAAACTAGGAAAAAAGAGTGGTTCAGATGCCATAGAAAGAGAACACTTAATGTGAGAGTAATTATCCCAGCAACTGAGAGACAACTTGAAGAACAAGGACTGAAAAATGACCACGGTCCAAGGCAGTGAGAAATGGAGTAAACTGCGAAAGACAGAGGCCACACTGCCCTGATGGAAAGAAAATGGGGTTGACACATGTAAATCTTTCAGTAGAAGTAAGTCAGAAAAAGGAAAAACACTAAAATGAAACTGTGGTGGGGACATCAGTTCAAACAAAGTTTAGACTTTGATTGTTTTCAGATTCCACAGACCTATTCTGTCCTCAATTGCCCTTTGAGCTATATTCACCAAAAATCTGAACCACCAAAGCATAGAAATGCTTCCATAAAACCTGAACATTAAGAGAACATACCATGAGTGCAAATGGAGGCACTGTGAACCTCTTTACAACAGAAGGCTCAATAAACAGCTATGTCTATGAAGACATTTAGTGTTCCTTTTTACATCAAGTTGTGGCCCTTTCAAGTCACTCGCAGGAAAGCCAGTCAAGTTTGAATAAGGCACATCTACATGAATAGAAAACATCTTACTAGGTAAAAGGTATGGAAGCCACACAATCAAATAAAAGAGCTTCTTTTTCCTACCATACGCCTCATGGAGTGAACAGAATATACCTGCATAAATCAGGAGTGATATTCCTTTGCTGGTCTCACTTAGCCATGAAGCATGAAGCGCATCAGATAAAAAGGCCAAATTAAGATGGATAAGCATGGCTGGGAAGTGCTATGTTGTTTACATTTACTTTCTTTTCCTACCAAGTTTGTTTGCAACTAGACAACGTTCACATTGAGGCAATAAACACAAGAACATATGTGATTTTTTTAAAATGTGCCCTTTGACTGTCAATTTCTCCCAAACAGGTGTTGGCTAAATGATTATAAATTGGCCTCTGGATACACCTCTTCAACTGAGCCGTACAGGGCTGGTGATAATATAATTAGACCTAAAAACATCAGGCTAGTGAATGCTTTCCATCTGTTTGGCAATAATGTTTAGTTAACAATAGTCTTTAAAAGAAGCACCTTCAGCTTCAGTTCTTAAAGTTATTTATAGAGCCATTCTTAACACACCAGCACTCTTGCTAACAAGAGCTTTAGCCACTTAGAAATTATTAGCCATACGGCTGTACACAAAGAGAAACGGCTGTATACAGAGAGAAACGACTGCATTTAACATCTGTATCTTTCCAAATTTACACGCTTCAACCTCATTTAGAGCCATTTCTTAATGAACAGAGCTATGGCGCTGCATTAATATTATAGTTGCATGCACAAAGATCATAAGGAGCCAAACATTTTTTTTAATGCCAACAGTAGGCCAATCTGTAATGAAGCTGTCAGCATAAAGGACAAAATAATAGCTTCTTTAACCCTCAAACAGAATTTGTTCATTTGTGGACTAGAACACATCAATTTAAAAACTGCTCATGGGTTTGTTCACCTTTATAAAGACAAAAATCTAATTTGTACTAATTTGATACAATTGTCTTTCTAATAAAAGGCTCCTAAAACCATCTTTTATTTCATGATAAAACAAGTACTATAGCTAAAACTGTCATGAAATAATTACCTTGGATAGCATACCTT